CTTGGTTACCTTCAAGCCTTTAAGACCCCAGACACTATACCTTTTGATAGCCAGGCACCATCAGCTTTCTTCACCACATTTGGGCAAGCTTCTTTTGAGCGAGGTGGTGATGGTTTCTTCCACTGGCTTGATTAATGTTTGCTTTCAGGGTTGCAAGAATAGCACCATGTCTCATCGCTAGTAATGACCTTGGGGGAAAAGTCTGGGTCACTTTGGAGCTGTTCTTTCAAAGTGCAGCATGTTTCCACTCAATGATCTTTTTCCTGGTCAGTCAGAACTCAAGGGAGAAATTTCACAGTGACCCTTCTCATTCCCAAATCTTCCATTAAAATTCGCTGAATCAGCTCCAAGACAGTTCAGATAACGTTCCCATCTCTTCAAAGGTCCATCGTCAGTCTTCCAGCATGAGTGCACACATTTTGTCAACATTTTCTTCTGTTCAGGAAGTTGGTGGACATCCAGAATGAGATTTGTCATCAATCAACATTTCTCCTCTTCTGAAAAGAGATTTATAAATTATCAAGGATTCATAAGGTAGGGAAGGCTAGGGAGGGAGGGGGGAAATGAGAAGGTGATACCAAGGGCTCAAGTAGAAAAAAAATGTTTTGAAAATGATGATGGCAACAAATGTACAAATGTGCTTGACACAACGGATGGATGGATTGCGATAAGAGTTGTACAAGCCCCCAATAAAATGATTTTTTAAGAGAGAAAAACACTCATACACTTGAGTTTTTCCCATAGCACTGTCCTTATAAGCTGTGTTCAACATCACAACAGTTTCTGCGGCATCTTTCCCAAACAGGAAATAAAATTTCATAGCCCCATGCTGTTCTCTTATATTGGCCATCACACACACACAAAAAGATTTAAGCAAAACTGCTTTTTATGAAAAAATTCACTGTGACCAGAGAGAACCTTCCCAGGCAATGCCACTGGGTGCACTAACTCAGTGATTTGCTCGATGCTTGCCTAGAGGGAAAAATGCATACTATAAAAGCTCTGCCCAGCATAGCTTTTTTCTGTTTTGCTGGGGAGAGCCCCCTCATAATCCCTAACTACCACAATACCTCTAGGTGAACTTGAGCTGCCAACCTTTCAGTTAGCAGCCAAGTGTGATAATTGTTTGCACCACCCATAAACTCTATGGAGAATTAAAATAATCAGACAAGTGCACAATTTCTCATATGAACCATGAGATTCAAATTAGTAGACCAAGGACTTCCAACTCTGCTGTTACAAAAATTTTAAACCTCTTCAGTTCAATCAACCAACAATTAAATATTTACTAAAGGCCTGTATGCCAGACCCTGAGAATATAAATTATAACATATGATCCTGTCTTTTAGGAGCACTCTTTCTGAGATAAGCCAGTATTTAAGTAACTGAAGCACTGTCAAAAAAAGCCCTACAATCAGTTATGAATGCAGAGAGAAAAGAGCTCAGCATATTCTGAGTGAGAGGGTAAAGTGGAGAAATATGAAGACTCAAAGAATATTTTTTAAAAAGAGGTCATATACAATTGAATCTTAATAAGTGAGAATGTGTTCACCACACACAAGTGGAGAAGAAAGCCATGATGGGTAGTGGGAACACGGCTGTAGAGGGTGGTGTGTTTGGGAGAAATGAAAAGTAAGCAGGGATATGGTAATGGGCTATTTGGGATAAATAAATAGAAAACACTAACTTTACTTGAATAAAGTATACATTTAATACTGGGACTATGGAAATACTTCAGTGTCAGTTAGACAGTACTTACTTATACTTTATAAAGCAACTTAAGAGCTACTGAAGAGAGCTAATCACATGAAATATATAACAATACTATCTAGCCACCATTGCATCTCCCTCCTTTGGGGAATTAATTCATCTACTTTTGGAATACACTAAAACAAATCAAAGCATCCCAATGGGAGTTACAATCACACAACCAGCCCAGTCTCCTCATGTCAATGAAGGATTCAAGAAAACATTTCTCCCGTGTGTGTGTGTGTGTGTGTGTGTGTGTATGTGTGTGTGTGTAGTAAAGAGCTTTATGCTTAATAAGACTTGAGTTAAGGAAAATAGAACAATGGTAGCACTGGTTATTTCTGAATAACTGTTTAACTACTATTTGGGGGGGTTTATTTTTTTTAACTCCAGTGTTAGATTGGATTCTCTTGGAAATAAATCTTAGAGAAAAAAAACAATGCAAGTAGTCTTTTGGAGAGTTGATTCTAGGAACCCTATAGTGACGTGAGGTAGGAAAACAGAGCGGGTTAGGGCAGCAATAAAAGGTGTGTTAGCAATAAGGCAATCGGGAGCTCCAGTATACAGTATAGAACATTCCTTAGCATTATCCCAATTGAAGAGTAATGAAGCTTAGGGTAGTGATCCTCCAATGACCCAATATGATTGCAAGAGGGCTGCTCCCAAAGGATTAGCTTCCTCTCACCCTCAGCTTGCCTCCCCACCACTCTATTTGCAGATGAGTAGTCCATAAGGTTCCTGCCAGGGACAAGTGTCTTGCGTGTTGTTGTGTTGCTGGACGCTGTGCCACCAGTATCACAAAGGCTAGCAGGGCCACCTATGGTGCACAGGGTTCAGTAGAGCTTCCAGACAGTGACAAAGAGGTTTTTGGTGATCTGATGCTAAAACATTTTGCCAGTGAAAACCTAATGGATAGCAAGAGAACGTTGTCTGACATAGCACTTGGAGAGAAACATCTCAGAAAGCATTCAAAATACAACTGGGGAAGAGAAACACCCTCAAAGTCGAGTTGAATTTCATGACATGTGCAGAGTAGAATCTTCAGGACCTAAATTTGCTCAAAATGAGAAGAAATTATAGCAGACAACCAAAATGGGAACATGTAATGTGGTGTATGAAACTAGGAGATTTGGAAGTCCAACAGAAATGAAATGGAACACATAAAATTGAGATTCCAGGCAGTAGTGAAATTAAATGGGTTGGAAGAGGCTGTTCTGAATTGGGCAATCATATGTTGACTGTTCCAGAAATGACAAATTGAAGAAGACTGGCATTCATGAGCAAAAAGAACATTTCAGGATTTATCATGAAGAACAGTGCAGTCAGCACTAAAAACCGAAGAACAAAAATCCCTGGACACTCTATTGTGCTCATGAAGAACTTATACATAGACCAAGAGGTAGTTGTTCAAACAGAACAAGGGGTATTGTGTGGGTTAAAACC